TATGTTGCAAAGATTAAAAAAGAATCCCCTCATCTGCCTCCAAAGATGTTGAGGCCCTCTTTAGAGCTGGTAGAAAATGCTAATTATGTTGCATGAGATTTGGGGTGGGGGGAGGAATACATTTTCTTTTACCCAAAATCAAAGCCCACTTATTTTTATCAGTTTTCCAAAAAAAATTGTGGTAATTTTTTTCAGTGTTTGGAAACTATTTTACCTCCCTTTCCCCCCCCCCCCCAAAGTTTTACCAAAAGTAAAACAATGTTAATGGAAACCATTTTATTTATTTATTTTATTTATTTATTTATTTTACAAAAAGGTTGACCAAAATGAAATTTTGGAAATGGGACTATTCACATGCTTAAACTTAGGAATATACTGTTAAGTACTTTGCTGAATTGGGGCCTTAATCAAAAGACCTATTTTATAGAAACATCTCCCAGGGAACAAGCTTAGCCTTATGACAGTGAACAGCAGTGACTCTGCTTTTCAAGAGTAATTCGCTCAATGAAAATGCTGTTGGCCAATTCCAAATGTTCGAGTGGTGTTTAAAGTGTGGAACTCTGATCTCTTAATATAGAAATTACCAAATAAATATACAATAAACCTAGAGTGAATATAATTTATCACCTAGTATTTGTTACTGTATTTTATTTAAAACTTTTCTGCCGTCTTTTTAGTAGCCTCCTCTATTAATCTGGACAGTTGCTTAATTGGGATGATAAACAGTTCACTGGCAGGTCTACTGTATTTGCCAATTCTAAATAAAGAAACTGAAAGGTTAAAACTAACTGACCTCCTATAGTTTTCACCCCTCCCTTTTTAAAGATCCATTCTGTCTGCGTGTGACCTTGCAGGTGTTAAAGCAAAAGTCTTCCAAAATGAGAGGGGCAGTCTGCAAGAGATATTGCTCTCAGAATTGTTTTAGTTCCACTGCGTCATCACAAACATATGGTTTCACTTCCAAATGTTTAACATTTCCTTCCATTTCCTCAGGAAATCATTCTTTCTGTTTTTTAAATTTTTGCAACTGGATGGATATCTTTATTGGCAGACATACAGAAAATGACACAATAATTAAACCCAGTCCAAGATAGGCTTCTGATCATATGATCTACCCAGCGATCTGTCTTTTCCCTTCCTGGCTGCTAGTCTGTTGTCAAGAATCTGGACCTGCAATTACAGCACAGCTTGCTTTGGTTTTGCACTTGTTTAATATAACAAAATTGTCACCTTCTGGGCTTGAGCTGAGACATATGGTTTTACTTCTTAGTCCAGAACATGGTCCATATATCCCAAAATATTAATGCAGGCCAGAATCCTGCAACTGACTGAGCAGGGTCAATTGCAAGATCAGGGCCTGGGGGGAAAAATTATGTCACCTAAAAGGAATGAAAACACTTACGCCATTTATTTATGTTACCTATCAAATATATCCCGTTTTTTTTTTTTTTTTTTTTTTTATTATTAAAGACAGGATGGCTCCAGGGAACTGGACTTGAGTCTTGTGTTTAGCTGGTGTTATTACTGGTATTTCCTTTTTCCTCCTTAAGAATGGGTTAACATTTTCATGTGCTGGCCATGTTATATAGCTATAGTAGCAGGTGTGTGTTCATTTATTCTCCATTTTATATTATCTACAAAAATAATGTTTAACTTGCTTCATAATGTTTCCTGTATCTTGTATGCCATAATGTCAGTCGGTTGAATGCACGAGTCTTATAGATTATTCAGACAATATATATGCTTAAATACTAGGCTTTAATGATATTATAAGCATTCTAGGGTGAATGTTTCCCATACTATCCTATTTTGACAAATTTTTAAAAGCTGCATATATTTTTGTACTATAAATAATTATGCTATACATAAAATAAGGCTATACAAGAAGAAACATTTAAAATGCATCAAATGTTTACATATATGTGTACGTTTATGCTGCATTTTACTACATCGATTCATACATTTAATCTATAGTAAGAAATATTACCTTTTTGCACTGTTCACTTTATATTGTCTTGGCTTCAGAGCGAGCATAGTAGCGTTTGGGACTTTTAGAAGGGCTTGATTCCTAATTTGGGGAAAAGCGGAGTGACACTGAGACTCAGGATGTTTTTTTCTGAATGTACATTATGCACAATAAGCACACACTTACTGTTAACCTTGAACTGAGACAGCAAATGCAGCAAAAGGTTTCTATGTAATTCCACCTTCAGAACTCCAGCTAAACCGCATCTGAGGCTCAGCACATTTAGTTTGCCACAGGTTTCTGTTTCTGCTCCCCTATTGCATTGCAAACTCCTGTTGAATTTGCTGCCCACTCTGATCCTGGTCCAGGAAAGAATTTAAGCACATGCTTAAAGTGCATGCACATATTTAAAGTTAAGCACTTACTTAAATACTTTGATGGATCAAGGCTTGTGCCAGGTCTCTTTCAGCATCATTGTTTTCCAGGTCAAAGGATTCTCATTTTTGTCCTCACTTGAATTGAGCAGGTTCTCTTTTGATTGCCATTGCTCTGCACATGTCTTCTGTCTAGAAACCTACCGGTTTGAGCTGCATAACCCACGCAGCACTTGAAAGGGCCACCATCAAGGCAGTGAGGCCTAAAATTTAGCATTCTGATTTTCTCTCAGTACATGCCTGTGTCATGCTGTTCCATGCTGTGTGCCCCAGCCAATACAAACACACCAGCACCACAAGTTGTTGTTAGTGGGTGGTCCAGAGGACAAGGTCAGATTAAAATCATGGGCGGCCCATATAAGAGGCCAGGAGAGGCTAAGCCTCCCCTAACAGCTGGCCTGCCACCTTTGGAGCATGCCACCACAGCCAAAAGGGTGCCCCGGCTGTGGCCCCGCCCACCCTATGCCCCGAGGCCCTGCTCCTTCTCGTCCTCTTCTGCCTGAAGCCCCACCCTTGCTCCCGCTCTTCCTGTCCCCACACCACCCACATGGGGGCCTCGGGGAGGCGCTGAAGAGGCATGCGTGAGTGGTGAGCGGCTGGCTGGCAGGTGGGCTGGCAGGGGGGGCCTCAGGGAAGGGAGCAAAGAGGCACAAGAGGTGGGTGGGGGTGGCGAATGGGCGGGGCTTCAGGGGGAGGAGGCCAAGCAGGGGCAAGCCTTGGGGTGGGGCCATGGTCCAGGCAGGCTCAGTCTCCCCAAATGGAGGAGTCATGTGCCGCCCATGATTAAAATAACGATACGCCATTCATTTTTGGGTGCTTGGCAAATATATGACTATGGTCTAACTTGTCCAGTATCCTGTCTCTGACAGCCATTGGTACCCGATGCATCAGATCACAGGCACTGACTTTTGTTTTTGCCGGTGGGTGCCCCTTTATGCCCCATCCCCTCTGGGGGAAGACGCTGAGCATGGGCGGGGCCTTGGCGCAGAGTAGGGGGTAGGACCTCTGTCTGGGCGCCGGGGCCCACAAAAGATTAATCTAGCCCTGCGGGTGCTGCGCACACCCTCTTATTTTTCAGTGGGTGCTTGAGCCCCAGAGCACTCACGGAGTCGGCACTTATGCATCAGAGGATGATGCAAGAAAACCTGCAATCCATACACATGGGTGTATTCAATCACTAGACTTGTGACCAGCCCCTACATAGGAGGTGGAGGTGTTTGGCTCCCCCTGCCTTTACAACCCATGCAAAAGCTGGCTGAAATCTGGCCATATGTGAGCAAGTCCAATATCTGATATATATTTCACCTGGGGCTTACATCCAGTTATTGCAGGGGATGGGCATGACGAAATCAGCTCTAGTGGGTAAAAAGCCTATTCTGGATATGTAGAATCTCCAGTAAATGGACGATTCATTCACAGATTCCTGTGTTCACCTGTGTTTTTCCTACTAGTGGAGGGGAGTAGGGGGGGAATAAATGCACAAGCTACTACAGCTGTAAGATAGAAGTAACCCAGGCGCTGACAACTTGTGTGGGTTTTGTATGTCTGTTTGCAGTGTTATGTTATGTGTTGGGAAGTGAGTTGTTTCCATAATAACAGTGACTGCCATATGGCAACGAGGAAGGCGGTGAGAAGAACGCTTAAGGCAACACAATATGTTGTTTGACATTTTGTGTATTTTTAAAGGAATACTATATCGTGTGTGTGTGCAGCAGCTCCACGCTGACTAGTGTTTAATGCTGATCTTGCAAAGCTAACATTTGATACCAGCTGGTTTATACTTGTGCCATGTCCATTTGTGGTACTCTTTTTCTTTTTCCTCGTTTTCCTTTTAAATATTGATTCATAAAGTGCTTTTCACTGTAGTCAGATTGCTGTTCAGTGCTGTACAATGATGGAACAACAATTAAAAATACCATAAAGCAGTAGGGGAAATAAACTTCTAAAGGAGGACGTCATGTGAAACTCAATCTCATCAGTAAGCTGTTGTATGTGCAAAGCCCTGGTTACTGCCCAATGAACAGATAGCACAGATTTTTAAATACTTAAAAAATATATATACCTATAAATACATGTATATTAGAATAGCTTTAGCCACAAAGTCAAACCCAAATTTTCCCAGAGTTTTGCAGCATTCTGACCTGCATTTAAATATATGGGGAACTGGGAATAGGGCTATTGCAAGTTCCCGTTAATTCCAAACTTTGATGCAACTACATGTGCAAATTCACTTTTTCAAGGCTTCTGGTAACTCTCCCCTTAAGGTCCCCCCGCCCTTTTCCCCACGATGGTAACCAATATGGGAATTGCCTTCTCTGATTCTATATAACTCCAGAAATGAAAGGTCAAAAATTGTCGTCTTACCATGGCTGAATGGCATGAGCGGGACTTTTTGCCTGCACTAGGACTGTAGAATTGAGTGCATGGTAGCCTCATGGGTCCAGTGTTTTTGGCTTTGATTTTCCAAGGGGGGGTTTATGGTTTTGGAGTGTTTTTACTGCGCTCACTTATGGTGTTTTAAAATTGTAGCCAGCCCAAAACACACAAAGAGGATCTTCAGGTTTTTACACTCTTTTTTCTTCTTCTTTTATTGCCTCTAGAGAGAGATTATTACAGTTTATGCGACAAGCAGCCAATTGGAAGGCTTCTCTTTCGGCAGTTCTGTGAAACTCGACCGGAGCTTGAGTGTTGCATTAGGTTCCTTGACTCGGTGGTAAGTTAATTCTTCTGATATTTGCAGTGTTTTATTGAACTCTGTTCCTTGGTAATGAACTTAAGAACATCAGTGTAGGAGTACAAAAAATAAACCATTGTTCTTAAGAAGTAACATTCTCTACATGAGCACAAAGATGTGAGCCTTCCATGTGTTAGGCTCCTGCAGAATATTTTGTTTGTCACCATTAATATCTCTATCAGGTTAACAGTCAAAACATTTTTTTGTCCCTTTCCAAAAGCTTCTTCCTGACATCCAGCAATCATTGTAAATCTTGACTATAAAATATATTGGAAAATACAGGGTTTTTAATATTATTTAATTGACATTTCTGATCCCATCATACTTAAAAAGGAACAATTTGTATTGGCCATCTGTGAACTCAGTGTAAGAGAGTGTAAGATGTTTTTTAGCTTGATAGAAATCATAAAAAGAATGTTAATGCTATTTGACCAAAATCTTTATGTAGACTCTGATCATGTGATTTGGTGGTACAAGCAGACTGCTGAGTTCATGCAAGATCAGGATCTCATTAAAGACTGACTCTTTCTTTGGATTGTTTATCCAATATTAAATGGGATGGCAATTGGTTCTAAGTGTCGTGTGTTAGCCTACTATGCTGCCTTGCCTCTGTAACAAACAATAAAGCAACTTTTAGCAATATACCTTTCATAAGCAGGCTTGGAAATGCTCTACATTCTGCCTAGAACACAGAGACCCACATGTAAAAAATGGCCTTACAGTTGCACCCACCACTCTTTATGTCTCTACTTTTGCAGATGCACCAATGTGGATTTGCATGCATCAATGCTTGCACATGCATCAGAGAATTGCACATTCCGACTCTTAGATATGAAGGGCGGTGGGTGCAGTTTTAGAGGTCAGATTGCGATCCCTTTGATCTCTGGGCTCACAACTTGCAAATACATTTCACAGTTTCCTCATGCTATGGTGGGTGCTCACATGTCTGAACTTTCAGATTGCTGAGTAGAGCGAAAAGGTTACTATTTCCTTTAAGAATATATCTAAGATTGCACTGTTATGCTGTACCTCTGTCATAGGAGGACAGTGAAGGAGACAAAATCATTATTTTTCAATGGAAAGTGTAGTGCCTACCTCTAAACATTCTGTGACAGTAGCCATCATGTAGTTGTCATAGAGTAGCTATGGAGTAGATTCTGTAGGGTAGCCAGACAGCTTCCATCTTGAACTCCCGCTGGCAGTGCAACTGTGTAGCCAATTGTGTGCATATAGCTACATTTATTAGCTACTGCACACAGGTGCCTGCTAGAAAACCTGTGGGCAGCAGCGGGAGGGCAGGCAGAAGTTGCTGTCATAGAATGACTCTGTTCATCCTTCATTGAAACACAAGCCATTTTTGGGATGGATTTTGGCCTCTATACAACAGTTTATTTCAGGAAATGGGGACAGACGTGTACAGTGGTCTTTGTCTGCCTGATGAAAGTGCCTTTAGTCATCCATTTAAAATGTGTGAAAATTATTTCTTACCTTTTGGTTTGGGAGACAACAAGAAGAAAGAATGATCTTTGGTTTCCGTGTGTTTTCCATTTAAAAGAAAACAGGAAGTTTTCAAAATTCAGAGGGGTTACAAAATTTAGGGGCTTTGTGTGCCACTATTATCTATTATGAATAGGCTTAGAAGGGTTACATTTCTATCAATAAATGTCAATTTCACCATACACACAAAAACCAACAGAAAAAATATTTCCATTGATGATAATTGAACTTTACAGATAGGCAAAGTAAGAAAAGTGCTGCTAGAGAACTTACTTGAGTTTAATTTAAGGATATTTGCTTTGTATATTTTGACATGTGATGTTGACTAATTGTGTTTTAATGGTTATAAAGCTTTAACTTTTTGATTCTCAGTATGTTGTAGTGTCATTAAATAATTGTTGTCTGACACCCCCCTCCACTCCCCAATTTCTTGCAATTATAAAAAAATGATCAGAACACTTATGCTTAAAATTAAACATGGGTATTGTCTGTCAGAATTGTTTTTTTAAACCAAATTCTGTATTTGTAGTATTTGTATTCCAGGAATGCCTAGAAGCCTCAGAGATCAGGGTCCCATTGTGCTAGTCCTGTACAGACACATAGTAAGAGAAAGTCTAGGCCTTGAAGAGCTTACAGTTTAAATAGATAAGAGAGACAAAGGCTGGGCGAAAAGAAGTATTATTATCCCCACCAGGGTGTATATCATCCTGTCACAACAACACCATCAACTTTACAGTACAACATGATAACTTTTCTGTACACAAAGTACTGGGAATATTGCTGGAGTCATTCTTGGAGTTCAGGGCAACAAACTGCCTCACCCTTCTGCAGCCCTTAGCCTGAGATCCTGAGAGTGAAACCAGCTATGGCATTTCAATATCCTCCCAGCTGTAGTGCAGTGTTTGTGGGTATGTCTACTTTGCAATAAAATACCTGCCGTTGGCCAGGGTCTGCTGACTCAGGTTCACAGGGCTCAGGCTGTGGGGCTATAAAACTGCAGTGTAGATGTCTGGGCTCCAACTAGAGTGTGGGCTTTGGGATCATCCCGCGCCAGTCCAGTCCAAGTCCAGACATCTACAGTGCAATTTTACAAGCCCCACGAGCCTGAGTTAGCTGACACAGGCCAGCCGTGGGTGTTTTATTGCAGTGTAGACATACACTTAGACAAGAATACCGTGAAAGGTTGAGATGGGGCTGGTAAGGGAAATGGTTGTGTCTAAAATCTCCAAACCCCAATAACCCAAGACAAATATCCCAAGACCCTTCTGCAGGGATGCCCTTGGCAAACAACCTTTGCTTGCTGCTCTGGCCCTTAACTGTCTTGTGTACTATTGCAATAATTCAGTTTAGCCAAGAGATCTGTATTCACAGTCCAACTGAGATCACCAATAATTGGTTGAACAAAATGATTGAGCTATATGAAGGTCTGAATAGTCACTCTCTTATCTTTGAACATCTTTGATGGCTTTTGTTTATTGATTTCAACTTCTGTAAAAGTTTGCTGACCACTGGTGAAATTTTCTATATTATCCAACCTTAACTGTCTAAAGCAGGAAACACAACAAAAGTTTGTTTTTACTTAGTACCAAACAAAGATGAAAAATAATTTAAAATACTCAGCTCTTCATTGGAAGATCTCAGAGCACTCTGCAGGATGGCAAGTATTTTTATCCCTGTTTTATGGAGAGAGAGAGAGAAACTGAAGCACAGAGGGGTTAAGTGACTTGCCCAAGGTTGCACTGCAAATCAGTGGCGCAGCCCAGAATACACCTACATCTCCTCTCCCAGTCCCCTTCTTTAACCACTAGACCATACTGCTTCCAAAAGCAGGCAACAATAAATGCTGTGTGTGATTTACAAGCACAGGTTGGAGTGGAAACTGCAAGCTGAGGAGTTCTGTCAGACAGTCACCAGCCTACCCATAATCTCTCTTTTTCATATGCAAGTCAGACCCAGTTTAGAGAGAACTTTCTCACTCCTCCGATTTCAAACATCAGTAGTATCGACCTGCATTACATATTGAGAAAAGTCCCTCCTTTACATGGCATTTATTTCAGCTGTCACAAGCACCCAACATGATCTCTTGGGGAGATTGATTATAGGGTATATTATAAATTTGGATTTTTTAAGTGTTCCATTTTTATAATAAAGCACGTTCCACAATCACTAACGTTAGCACAGGAAACGGATTCCTCTTGCTGATACAATTGTCGGGTTGTTTCAGTTAGAATGTGACAAGGGACGTTGACCAGATAAAAATCTCTGCACAGTGATTTACATCTCTGTCAAGCGAGTGCTGCATGGGTATGAAATGCTGCTGAATCACAATAGTAGCATTATACACTCACTTTGCCCAGGTGTAACTGACTACACAAGGTGCAAGGCAGAGGAGAATCAGGGCCTACACTTTCAAATTGATTTATCTGTGTTACCAATTCAGGGCCTGATCCAAAGCCCTTTGAAGTCAGTTGGGGCAAGTTGTGTCAGTGTGGGTAGAGAACAATGTGGAGGAGTGGGAATGGAGGGGAAGACATGAATGACAGTGATAAGAACACAAGATTGCATCTATGCCGATGGATAAGATTTTCAGAAGCACTCAACATTGGCTTAACTCTTCTCCCATTGAAAGCCAGGGCAAAACCCCCCCTTATCTTCAATAAGGGCAGAGTTAGGTCAACACTGAGCTCTTTTGAAAATCCCACCCTGCAAAAATTAATACAATATTTTATTGAAATTAACAACTTGTTGGACTTAGCATTAAATAGAGATGAAATGTAAAGATTCGAATGCTTGTCTCCTTTGTACACGATGTCCTCTCTGCCAAATAATGTGTTTCAGTCACAGATATTTCAGTCACAGGCCAAAATTTCCAATTTATCTGGCTTTATTTTTAAACATGAAGATAGGGCCCTAACATTAGCATTAGTCTTGATTTAAAAATTATCAGTGATGGAGAATCCACCACGACCCTTGGTAAATTGTCAATGGTTTAGTACCCTCATGGTCAAAAATTTACACCTTATTTCCAATCTGAATTTGTCTAGCTTCAACTTCCAGACATTGGATCATGTTATACCTTTCTCTGCTAGACTGAAGAGATCAGTATTAAATATTTGTTCCCCGTGTAGATACTTAGAGACTATAATCAAGTCACCCTTAACCTTCTCTTTATTAAGTTAATTAGATTGAACTCTCTGAGTCTATCACTATAAGGGAAGTTTTCTAATCCTTTAAATGTTCTTGTGGCTCTTCTTTGAGCCCTCTCCAATTTATCCACATCCTTCTTGAATTGTGTGCACCAGAACTGGATACATTATTCCAGCAGTGGTTACACCAGAGCCAAATACAGAGGAGCAATTCCCAGAAGAGTCAATTCAACATAAGAAGAGAAGAAAAAAATGGAGAGGAGGGGCGTATAAGTGATGCTAAGCAAAGTGTCACACTAGAGCCCATTGCTAAGAAGGGCATCTGCCAAAAGGGAA